ATATGTACAAATGCACAGGTGTAGGTGTATAAAGTGTTTTTGAGTCACTAGCGGCCACTCTATTTTTGTGCGCAAATTTATTACATTACACAAAGACAAGCTGGTTTTCGAGATCTTAAACACTTTATGGTGAAATTTTGTATGATTATATAAATAGTTTTTGCATCATCACCGATCACGATGCTATTTTTGATTTTGAAAATCAAGGAGTGTATTGGAATTCTTTGTGGAATTGGCTCATATATTTTTAACTGATTTTTTAATTAAATAATTGTATGTATTTTTAACCACGTTTGCGATCATAGAGTTTAAGCTGACTTTACCTCTGAATGCAGCTTAGATACTGAATCACGTCGGTCTCTGTTTCAGGAACTTTAATCTGAACATAGTAATTTTAAGTTTGCCACGAAGTTTGCAACACCCAGAAGGAAACATTGGAGATCCTATATATCATCTATAATGAATGGCCAGCGTGACCGGCTGATTATACTAAATACGTATGTCCATCTGTCTGCATAGGTGAACTAGTCGGAAATATCGATCTGAAATTTTGTGCACGTCCTCTTCTCCTTAAGAGCAACTGTCGATTTCGGACTACTTTAGCACATAGCTGACTTTCAAGCTGACCGATCAAAATCAGGTACTTGTATGGAATTTTTTCTTATTAGAAAATATATTTTCACAAAGTTTAGCATTGATTAGTGCCCAACATAAGCCCACAATCTCTGAGCATATCGTTCAGATGAAACCATTATGGCATATAGCTGTCATATAAGCGTACTGGATAAAATCAAGTCTAATCTGTATGGAAAACTTTTATATTTAATGAGTTATCTTCACCAAATTCTACATAGATCGAACGACTGTAGCATATATGTAGCTGTTATATAAAGTCAGCGCTCAAAATCGAGTTTGAGATCCTGTCGTTAGAATCTGTCCAGGAATAGAATAGCCTTTGAAAATAGATTTTGAACTTTTTTGACTGTTTCTTTGAATTAAACTCACCAGAGTATCTTTTGGAACTTAGTAATTTTGGTTTCTCTATGTATAGTTGTTAAGAAGAAAAGTACTTAAGGGATTACAAGGGTTTAGGGGTTTAAAAAAATCTAATCTTTTTTGTCCTATTAAATTCTACAACACCTCTAGAATAGTGTACTCAATTTTCACGTTGATCCAAATAATATTTTCGGAGATACAGCCTTGAGAACCTGTACATTCGAAGCTAACTAGGTTAAGTGCGCCGTCTTTAAAGGCATTTTTCTCGAAACTGTGCTTTTGAAGTCGGTTGGCAAGAACCAATTTTCAGTTTCGTTTGTCATTCGTCCAAGTTATAAGTTAACTAAAACTCATAGTTGTTCACTTTAGATGATCCTGTAAGGAGTTAACCTGCCAGCGCGGGCGCATCTTTTTTCTGAGTGGTCTGAATTGTCGTAGCAATGCTTAATTGTTTTAAATATTTTTTTCAAAGATTTCAGAAATTGCTTTGTTAATAGTGTATGTATGTAACAATAAAATTTTTTAATAAAATATTTCATTTTTATGACAAAAAATTTTTGAAAAAAGGTTGTTTTTTATCCAGGGAAACCTATGTAACCCCATAAATTTGATTAATATTTTTATATAAAATTATTTAAAAAAAAAATTAAATTTAAAAATTTTTTTAATAAAAATACTTCTTTGTTTATGTTATAAAAAAATGCTTTTGAGTATCAGGGCTCTTAAATCTTAAGTTCAATAAACCAATTAATTGCAAAAATGCAAGTCTGCATGCAAGAATATGTTTTTGTTAGCATTTAATATATACATATATACATAAATATATTCAAACGGTGTTAACATTAATTAAATGTCCAATTTCCATTTGGTGCGGTTGCGTTTTGTTTTCCACAGAAGATTTAACTTGTTTTTAATTCTAACCTCATTTCAGTAAATATGTATGTACAAAAGCCATTTTTATACACAAGACTTATGCATAAATAAATATTATATGTAGAAAATATAGACTCATACGAAACAATATATAATATGAATATGAATATGAAGATTTTATATAAGCCAAATATTTATGTCAACACAGGTATTTGAAATCGACAGGCAGGCATATATATGTAAACATATGTATGTATATATATTTCCATTTTTTTATATGATACGGGATGATATGATATGGTATGTATATATACATACATACATATGTCTACATATTATATGTATATGTAAATCGCAATCACGTATGTATGATTGAGCAGACCCCACCTACAATCTCATAAATAAGTAAACAAACAAAATAATAAAAATCATGCACACACACGTACACCAACCAAATTGCTAAAAACCAAAAGCATGAGCAATGAACGTTCAACATGTGTGCTGTAAACACCTTGAAGTGCTAAAATTACACCGTCACATGAATTGTCCTTGAAAATTTTCTTGAATCATCATCAACTCGCGAGCATCATCATTAGCTACATCATCACTGTCGTTGAGGGAATTTGTACTTGTTGTTATTTTCAAATTTGTGAAAGTTGAAGCAATGGCAAAAAGTCAAAAAGAGGTTTGTCAGAGCTCAGCAAGTTGCAGATCACTCATACGCCGTGTCGCACATAACTGCAGTATCAAACATGCAACCATAAACACACACATACATGCATATGTATGCATATCGTGTGTATAAATATTTATAAAATCATTAATTTGACCCACTGTCCGCCCCATTCGAATACTCTTATAAATCGAACACTCTGCTAATGCTCATTATCATTGCCTTCATAATTACCATAAGCAGCTGGGCGTTATTGCGGATGTCAATGTCAGAAAGGTATTTCGAATGAACAGGCCGGCATATGTACGCACATACATACATACGTCCGTATGGCTTGCATATGCACTACAAAGTATTGTTTGTTGTTTTTGTTGGCTGCCACTTCTGCAGTTGGCTTTCGTTTGGCCTGTGTACGTCATAGCCTCTTCTCGACGATATTTGTTTTATTTTCGTTGTGCATATGCTTTTAGTTTGTACTATTAATAAGCACTGAAAGTAAGTATTCGAAAACCAACAAAAAAAAAAAATCTAAGACGCCCTTCAGCACAGGCGACCTTTTCTTCGAAGTTCATGCTCTCACTTAGGGATTGAATGTACAAGATGACTAGCCTTCAACGGAAACACAAGGCACAATAAATTATTGAAAATACATACATACATAAACACATAAAAAACATACATACGTTAAAATTACAACATGTTGTGGCTGGCTCGGCACTAACAGTTGCTACATTTGATCATGAATATTTTTGTCGAAAGTGTTAGCCCTTGCTTTTCCTTCCATTTATTTTTTATTTATACTATTAGACCCTATGTTGTCGGATCCATGTAAAAAAGAAGGATTTTAGAAAAATAATTTTACGATTTTTGTCAAAGTCGTGCCTGATTTGGGTTGCTGTACAGCATATCTATTACCACTACATCACTGCGACTGTTTAACATTCAGTTTAAGTGAGGATACAGTTCTAGAAATTGGCTTCAAAATAAAACTACCTCAGCTGTATGGATGCTTCGGAGTTTCCTTAAGGAGCTCTTTTACCAAGCTTGTGCCTGAATATATTTAGCTTATCTATCCTAATAAATGGTTTTTCAATAGGCATATTACAAAATTATACCGGTTGGGACAGCAAACGGGCTATATTTTTTCCACTTCTTTTGATATTTCTCTTCACTGCCTTTTTATCATGAAAATATATACGATTAATTATTTAATTAATTAAAATTTACTACCGAAACTCAGAGTCAGACTTTAAGAGCACTACATTCAATTTATGGTCGTCATAATCGTCCTGTCAGATCAAAAATTGAGCGTCTAGTGGAAAAAATTTAATTCATAGGCACTGTACAAAATGTTGTCGTGCCTGTGAGACAAAGAAGTGCCCGAAGTGTCGAGTATATTGCTGTCACTACCGCATCAATTGAGGAAGACCCAAATCAGTTTCTCATACGTCATTCTCAAGCGTTAGGCATCGCTGTGTCATTTGACCACCGGATGATGGTCACTTATTGATCCAGATTTTCAGCGAAAAATCACGTTCAGCGATAAAGCTCATTTCTGGCTGAATGGCTTCATCAATAAGTAAAATATGCGTTATTGGTCGGGCAGCAATCCACACGTACTCCATTCATTCACCATTGCATTCCAAAAAATTACAGTTTGGTGTAGTTTATCGCCTGACGGCCTCATTGGGCGTTTCTTACTTTTTCCGTGATGATTACGTACGGTACGTTACTGCGAATGGGAATCGCTGCCGCTCAGTGATAACCAAATATTTTTGGCACGAATTGGTTGATATGGACTTGGACAACAGAACGGCGCCACAAGTCACACAGCGAAAATTACAATCGATTTATTGAAAACCAAGTTTAGTGAATGTGTTATATGACGAAATTGAGGACACGGCCCTAAACCGCACTTTCCCCCTTAATATATTCTATTCACGGTAGAACGTATAATCTAATAACCTATTTAACCAAGGGTTAATTAAGCCCGATTCTATTTTTCCTTGCTTCCATTAGAAAATTTGAAGGCTTCGCATTGCTGTTGAAAATGTATTAGGAACGCTAATTGAAGCAATTTTTGAAATTTTTGAAAAAAAAATATTTGCAGTCATCTTAAACATGCTGTACTTCAGACATAGTAGAAAGTGTAGTTTTCGAAGATTTATTGCATACTTTTAGGCGCAGTAATAGTGATATTTACTTTCGTGAGTATGAAAAATGTTTTAGTAAAAACTACACTTTTTTGTATTTTTCAAAATGATAATATCGCTCAGTTTCATATTTGAATGGCTTTAAACCAAAAACAATTTATTTTCGCATTCGTCTTTAGAAAGCAATTAGCAATATTACTTCATTTGTTAGCAAATTTCAAATAAATGTAACAACAACAATTTTACTAATGCAACGAAAGCAGTGTTAGAAGCGTTTGGCAGCATAGCGGTTTTTATTGACTCACTTGATTCACAATGGCCGCTTGTTCCTCGGCGACGTCTTGCTGGTGATCACGTGTTGGCATCGGGCTGAAGCAGCCGCCCTGTGGCTGTGGCAACGGTGGCACATAGCCGCCCGAGGCGTTCAGTTTCGGAAATACTGTTTGCGGCAATGAATCAACAGGCAGTTGTAGAGCGCGCTCATATTGGCCGGGTCCTGGCAAGAATGGTGAGGGTCCTCTGCGCGAATAAGAGAGGAATTGAAACAGAAACTTTATATACGAATATGTGCACAAAAGTGTGTACTTGCCTATGTGGCACATTGGCATTGGTTAAATCTGGACTAATGCTATTCACCGGTGAGGGACCTAGCCCAGCTTTGTATGGATCGCTGCCAAGTCCTTGTGTGTATGCGATTTTACTGTCACGATGTACGACGATTTTAATTTCATTGCCTGCATTACGGAATAACGTCTCGGCGTCAGCGTGGCTTACGTCACGTGCATCATAGTCACGTATCTTGGCGATAATGTCGCCGCGCAGCACCTCTCCGTAGGCGGGACTGCCGACTTGAACCTGTTGGATAAAAAAATATAATTTTAATTTAACTTTTGACTTGATGAAAATTGTAATTTTTATGGGGTTACATACAGTTAGAATTTAAAAAGAAAATCAATTTTTTTATTTTATTTTCTTAATATATGTACATATATTATACTTAAAAATACACACATATGATTTCATATCGTTCCGTTGAATATTTTTGAAGATACACTCAAATTTGAAAATTCGTTTTTCTCAAATGGTGTTTTTAAAGTCGGTGTCCAAAATTACACGAAAACGACTAAGCCGAGTAGTCTCAACACGAGCTTCTTAATATATATTTTATACTAATTCAACGAAGATTTTTTTTCACCAATCAATATTTTTTTATAAACAATTTAAGGCCGAAAATTGGTCAAAAATCGATCTTTTTGTGAAACCGCCCTTTTGTCAAAAAGTTTTATTTTGCGTGTTCTTCCGATTAATTATTAGATTTAGCATTACTTTAACGAAGTCTGTTAGATTTTTCAATTATAAAGGATCCAGTTCAAAGATATAGTGGTCACCGCAAAATGTCATTTTTGAGAGGAGCGCCTGAAAATCAGCTGTAGTAGAAATATTATAATATCAAGCTTTTTACACGAAAAACTTCTTTTTGCAGAAATCATGCAAATCTTTATACACATGTCATAGGTCATGCTGGTCACTTTTTCTTCAGAAATTCAATATGGCTTCAATAGCCAAATATGCATTCCGCCGAGCGCATATTTCTGTTTTGGACCCAAAAAAAAAAAAAGAAAATCAATAAAACCAAATCTGGCGATTTTCATTGAAATATCCTCAAAATGTATGTAATATAAATCCCCACGTATTGTTAAATTGAATACCAAAAATAAAATATGTATTAGATATATGTATCTAAAATAAAGACTTAATGTAGTTGGGTGAGACTTTTCTTTGATTATTATTAGGTTTCATATGAAAAATAGATTAATGCAGTGAAGCCTTCTCTAATTCAAGTAAAACTTGTAATTCCAATAAATGATTATTGCTCTTCTGGTGTACTTCACCATATACCGGGTTTTCCAACAGGTATGATATTATGTCGTTTCCGCCATTCATGTCATCTGTAAGTTATGTCTTCGTATTCTGTAAAGTTTACAATTCCATCAAGGAAAGATATACACAAGAACATCGTTTACAAAATATTAAATTTTGTTATCAAAATAGTCGTTCTCCAATTACAACTTCTCGTGCGCTTTTGTCATTTCTTGGTCGTAATAATCGTCCACCGCTCCTCGCTATTCGTCGAATTGTTGAAAATATCGAGCGTACATTTTCTTTATACATATAAGGTTCAAGTGCCAAAAAAGGCAAAGAACCACTCAAGTAAAGGATTTGGGCTTGCATCCGTATAAAATTGTTCTCACTCAAAAACTATGTCAATGGAGAGCGGCATAGATCAATGATAACCAAGTTTCTATGGCCGCAATCAGAAGAAGTTGAACTTGACAATATCTCGTTCCAACAAGACTGGGATACGTTCCACAGAGCACGTGCAATAATCAAATTATTGCGATAAATGTTTAGAGATTCGATTATTTTAAGAAAATTTGAAATTAAATTGCCGCCAAGAAGTTGTGATTTAATAGTATTAAACTACTTCTTATGGAGTTATTTTAAGTAACTGGTCTTTAACCAGACTCTCTTTAAGCTTTAGAAGTCAATATTGAAAGTGCTATTCATGTCATACATAGTTGAAAGAATACTCGAAATTGGGTTCATCGAATTCGTTCCTGCAAAAGAAGTTGTGGGGGAAATTTGAATGATGTTGTTATAGATAGTACTTCATACTAAATAAAAAAATATTTGAATTTCTTTAACAGTTAGTACAATCCTCCTCTGTCAGTTCGAGAGCAAGATCATTTCAAAATCGCTTAAGATAATTTTAGGAGTATCGCTACAAAACTTGAGTGTTATTGGTTCATACATTCTCCTATTTGGAATTAGATTCATTAATATCCTCTATTAGTAGGCACTGTAGAGTAGATTGATTTTGGAAAAAATATTTGAGATATGTAGATGAAAGGTATTACAAGATACCACTAGAACAGCCGTGAATCTGACCGAGTTGATCCAGCTGAAATAAATCACAGCCAATTCACCAATTTCGCCGAGGGAGGAAGAAGAGGAGAGGCGCTTAAATAATTTCATATCGCCTCCTTTCATACAACAATTAGCATCTATTAGAGAGTGTTTAGTCACTGCGGTGAGATAAAACTTGCTCACAGCCAATCGTTCACAAGAAGGCGAAATGTTCATAATATCGCTCGATAATAACATTTTTTGCAAAAGCCTGAAAATATTCAAACCCATCTAATTCTTCAAAACATAATGTTCTGTTGCACCAGAATTTATTGCTGTCTTACTTATTTTCCCTCAGATTACTTAATTGTAAACATTTTATTACATTTTGGCACATAATTATCCAATGCATTTTCGACGTTTTTTTGGTGTGAAATATACATCCTCTTGTTTAGACACACATACTCGTACATACATAATTATTAGCATTATGTTGTATAAACAATTTTCGCAAATACGTCTGCTTTCGTCACATAAATTACATTTAATGGTGACCGAAATTCGCTCATAAATGTTTCTATCTTGTCAAATGTGAAATATTATTGTGTTTTTTGGGGCTCATTAAGCAGAGCGAGGACGCAGCCTTCGATTTTGCGATCTTTTTTCGATTGATTGAGATTGCGAAACGCGCAAACATGTGTAATTGACTCTGATTTATGCAAATATTTTCCAAAAACTGATTTTATTAATTTTCCACTTTCACACAAAGCTCTAAACTGTTTGCCCAAACTATCACTTAGTCTAGAAAAAATTTATTACTGATACTAAAAAAATTAGTAGTAAAATATCTATGATCGAAAAGCTTTTGGAAAATATTCTCTTGAAATAATTTAAATAAATTTCTTCCCACATACATTTTAATACAAACAATTTCATAAATACTTAAGGAAAGACTGAGTTCAAAAATTACAGGAAGCAGTACTAAATAAATGTATCGAAATTACCACTTACTTTTCGCTCGCTTATGACTAAAATATAAACCACATGACGTTTCACTTAATTTACCATGTTGAATATAAGGCTGATAATATACAAGGTGGTTTCCAAAGGACATTTTCAATCTAGCGTCCCTAGTGGCGTTAGAATTTGCTATATTTATCGATTGTTCAGTGAAAATTTCACGACATTTCGTTGATTGGAAGTGAAGCCATTGCGTTTTAAGTGTTAGTATGTTTGTGTAATCAGTGCAAAAATGAGCTTCGACAAGTAGCCAAAATTTAATTTTGTTTTAAAATTGGTAAACTTTTACCGAAATGTTTCTATTGATGAAACAAGTTTATGGCTATGATTGTCTATCCCGTAGTAGAGTGCACGTGGTTTCAAAGTTTTCAAAGAAGTCGTGAGGACATAAATGACGATCAACATGTGGACCAATCAAAATCCGTGGTCACCGGAAATTCCATCAAAACTATGTGTGAATTCATTAAAAATCAGCCGTAATTATTATTGAAATTCATGGAAATGGAAGTAAACATCTCCAAAACTGCGATTTATCGCATTTTGACCGAACATTTGGGCTTACGAAAGACGTGTGCACGGTTTGTTCCGCACAAATTGACTGACGACCAAAAATTTCTCTCATTGATAGACGCTTGTGACCAATTATTTGACCAAAAATCACATTTTAACCATTAACCATCCGCGTATTCACCTGGTATAGTACCAGGACTTCTTCCTTTTCATTACAGCGTTATACAGACGTAAAAGCGTTATACAGACGTAGAGGCCATTCAAAAGACTTGCACCGACATACTGGCGGCCATACCGGCCAACGAGCTAAAACACTCGTTCGACATGCTTTTGGACCGTGAAAAAAGCTGTATTGAATAAAATAAATTGATTTGCCGAAAAACCGGTTTGTCTGTGTTTTTTTTAAAGTCGTGTTTATTTTGGAAAACACTTTGTAGACTGTAATTATTTTCCAAGATTTTTTTAAAGGATTGTGCCTCTTATAAATAGCTTTTTTTTTTCATTTAATAAATCGAAAAACTTTTTATGGCTTAATGTACACTTTTCAGTAAGAGTTCTCTTAGTTGAACAATGAAAAAATATTCTAGTAAACTCGAAGCTTTTGGACAGGTCAGTTTGGCATTTAAACCTTTCAACGAGTTTGTATCGCAACTGTATTTTTCAAATCGGGAGACCATGATCTCGGAAACTATAAGGTGATAGGTGATATCACCTGAAATTTTAACTCAAGTTCACGGTAATATTGTATGTATATAAAACTATCAACTTTTTATATCCTGTACGAAGTCTGTACGTCCGTCTGTGTGTCTTACCGTTTGTTTATATGCGAACTAATTCCTTAGTCTTTAAGATAGCAATCAGAAAATTTGGACTTGTGCTTCTCTCACCAAGTGTTTGCTCGTTTGTCGGTACCGCCAAAATCGGACCACTGTAGCATAAAGCTGCCATACAAATTCATCAAGATATTTTGGCATAGATTATTTTCCAAGGCAACACCACAAGACCGACACTGACCGATCAAAATCAAGTCCTTCTATGGAACCTTTTTCTGTGAAGGATATTAACAATTTTTTTATAAAGTAAGGCCTTTCTAGCGGCCTAAACTAGCTTATCTAGCTTTTCATTCCCAAACAAGTGAGTTAAAGAAGTTTAAAATCGCTGCTTTTTTTATTACTACCTATCGGATCTAACTGTGCACCCAAGACTAGTTAATGTAAGGTCATCAGCGATCTGCACTATGCATCTTAAAAGAAAAGAACAAAATTTTTTCTGTTGGACATCATAATTGAACTCTTCTATGAAGTGCTTATTTACTTTATAAAAAGTTTTTGAATTTCCCATCAAAATTAATCAAATTTTTGTTATTAAAAAACTCACTGCATTAACGATGCGCGCAATTTACTTCGGAATTGAATAATGGTGCCAAATAATATGTATGTTTGTCTGTACATTAAGACACATAAGATCATTTATATGTTTTTATTGTGTACTTAAGACAGAAAATTAAATGAAATAAAGTGGGAAATCGCAAACATATTTATTTTGAACTTGCGAGCGTTTTCCCACAATGCTCCTCCTTAACACCCCTCACGCTGCATACACACACACACATACATATTTATGTAAATTCTTGCAGTTTACAAAAATATTATTGCTTGTTGTTGTTTACTGTTTGCAGCTTGTTTTGATTTCACATTTCTTTGTTTGTTTGCCACGAAACACATACATCGCTGCGGTGTGCAGAATGCAATGGCAATGATAAAGGCAGCCAAAGACACAAGCCACAATTTGGCAATCGGCAGCCAAAGCATTCGAGGTTCTTCATTTTATATATACTTGTGTCTCTTTTATTTTATTTTCTTGATATATTTATTTTCAATGAATCGCGTAGCAAGCACATGCACGTCCCTTTTTGTTGCAACGACACACTAAACAAAATCGTGATCTTAAGATCATGTTACATAATTATCGCATGAGAGAAAAATTTCCACTGAATTTTTATTTGCAATGCGTTCATTTGTGTGTTATGTCTTATGATTACCCTGGTTATGATGAGCGGTGTATCCAGATCATTGCCACCGACGAGACGTATACCCCAGGGCGTTTCGGGGCCATCACGTCGCAGCACAACAGTGAATTCATGCAATTTCGGGCTCATTGTCTGCCACGAAAAGCGCACGACAAATATATACGTTTAAAAAACAACAATGAACACTCGATGAACTGGCGCACAAAGGACACTTTTTGGAGACTTTTTCTCAACTGCGGTCAAGACTTCTAAAAAAACGTACAAAAATCACAGCGCGTTGGTGAACTCGCGAACACAATACAGCCCAGTGGTCCGTAAATGGCAAAGTCTTATCGCTTATCGAAAAGCAATGATGACGCCGACGACAAATATACGATATGCGATCTATTGTCGCGCGGGACAAGACAACGACAACGTTCTGCTTCGGTACGATCGGTGGCACTGTGACTACGTTGCAACAAAACGTTTATACACTGAAAATTCGCAGACGATTTGATCGCGCTGAAAGTTGCTCAAGCACTAAATTTAAAAGCGGCAAACAAACATCGCATCGAACTTGCGGCGGAAGCCGAAATGCTTTTATGTGTTATTTTCTTCGACGTTTTTGTGATCATACATCAAACCCCTGCTTGATTAACCCCGCTCCTGTCTGTACTTTCTTTGACTTTTGTTTACATTTTTTTGCCTTCGACGGACTTTGTGGATTTTCATTGTATACACAGTTACAGATTTTACTTGCTAAGTTTTGTGTATTCTTTTTTTTTTTTTTTTTTTTTTTTTTTTTTTTTTTTTTTTTTTTTTTTTTTTTTTTTTTTTTTTTTTTTTTTGGCGATAAAATCATAAAAAATGGGAACTCAAATAAATTCGTAAAATAAAAAATATGAAATGCGAAGCAGAAACTAAAACGGATATGAATAAGCATATAAACGAATTTATAAGATTTGTATATTTAGTATATTTACTTACTCATATGTTTTTACAATATACAGGGTGTTCCATATGTTATGTCGACTCGTAAACATTGAATAACGGTGTTATTCATTAACCGATCCAGATATTTAGATACGTTTTCTAAATCTCAATTCGAAAGATTTCTAAGCGTTTTTATGCGACCCTGAATCCGGTCAGTGAAAGTGAAGGAGGGCTAGATTGTTATATAAGTTTAAGAGGTGTTTCATGGAGGATGAGGGAGACTGCGTCTGTGAAAAAGGCGACCGCGCAACTCCATTTCATTTCTAAATAGCCAAAGAAATTGAAGCTTAACTGTTCTTTTTCTATTACTAAGTACTTATCGGATCTGGGTGTGACCAAAGACTAGTGAATGATGTCTAAATTCCCTATTCCTGCCATGAAGTTAATACCTGGTTAGACTGGTTTGGGTATTGCAGAAACTTCAGTCTCAATAACTTCAGAATGGGAACGGATAGGAGCTCCGTTAGCTTCGTGAAATTCAGACAAGCCCAGCAAACTCAGTTCAAGATAGAGCATAATAGGTCTAATTTTCGCCTCAGCATAGTTCAGTTTTCAATGGTTGGGATTTCTAACTGAACACTGGCCGATTGGAATTCATGCGAGAAGATTAAACAGTTTACCACATGTCAGTTACATCCGCTACTCGGAAGGTTCAAATGTTCCGTCAGACCAAAGCTAAGACACCTCGAATCTCATACTTTAGATATTCAAGTGAAATTGTGGAAATAGGAATAAAGCACTTAAGCAGATTCCCCAGTCAACATTTCCGTACACAGCCAAGCTGCTATCGAGGCGGTAACCTCGTATCGTAGGTATCGAAGGAAATGAAATAGTGGGCGAGATTGCCAAGAATAGTGTACGGCTAACATCTGAAAATCAACATTGGGAAACCCATGCATTGTCTGTTCGACGAACTCGACAGAAGCGTGGTCAAGAAAATAAAAAGCCGATGGAACGATTTACCTGGGTGCAAAACTGCAAAAGTCATTCTATCACTCGTCTGTAGGAACATGATGGAAATACTAACTGATCACTGTCTGGAGGCGATACACATCCGCAAGATGGGGCTGACAGATCGGGACGACTGCAGCAAATGCCAAGAGCAGAGCACCTAACCTAAGCGGCTTTGTGATAGGCTTAAATCACTAAGTCGATGGCTGATTTTCAAGTGTAGAAGTTTTGAATTTGACTTCGTAAAGAACGATACATATCAGTCTAAGTGCTATCCCACGTCACTTTGAGGGATCAGCCATCTAACCTAACCCAACCTATCGGATCGCTCTTATAAATGAGTTGCTCATAGATATTTAGTATTTATACGACGCCAAAAAATTTTGGTGCACCCTGTAAAACTTTGTACAATAGTGTCTATGTGCATATGTGTTTACACAGGTAAGTGCAAATTAATTTCCTGGTCCGGCCGCAGCTACTTATTCGACATGATCTTTAGTAAAGTAAAGATGTGTGCACACGGTGCAGCCGTTACACCCCATGAGGAGGCACAAAATGTCTGGCGCACGCCAAAGTTTGCAATGTTTTGGGAAAAATATCAAACAAAAAACAATAGAGCTCGACACAACAACAATACACACCACCAGCGTGGGCTTGAAATGCTCTACAAATATAAATACATACATACATTTTTACATATTACTCAAAAATCACGTTGGGTAATTTCACTTCGACAGAAACAACATGCGCAAAATATTTATGTGGAAAGTCGTTAAATTTTATTTGTGGACTTATAAAATGTCCAACAACTATATTACAAAGTTCAGAAATAAATATTTCGAAATGAAAAGTGTTTGCTATAATTTGGCCGCAATGTCCGTGCTAAAGTGGATTTTATGTTGAAATATATACAGGCAAATTTATGCGTAATTTAGGTATAATTCAAGGTCGTTTTTAAAAAGCCTAAATAAACAAACGTGTACTACACGCAGCAGGCTAATTAAATCTACTCATTTGATGGTGAGCGACTCACTGCAAGGAGGTGTCCACATGTATGTGCCACGCACTGTACTTGAAGGCGTTTTACTTAATGAAATATTGGTAATTACATAAATTTTCAGCGAGATTAATATTTAAACGTTTTTTATATACTTTTTTTTTGATTGTTGCTTTTGCAGTGCACCAATTTTTTGTAGCAGTCCACACTTGTGCAATATTTTAATAACTTAAAAGTGGGTCAAATAAATAATTTAATTCTGCAGAAAAAGCCAAAAATGAAATTGATCGAATGCGCACAAGTGGGCGGATTGATTAAAGAGCAACAAATGTATTTTTTTAAATGGCATAAAGAATCATATTGCAAATGGGTGATTCGAAGAGTCCTTAAGAAGCGAAATTTATTCATTATTTCCTAGTGAAATGCCATTTTGAGAACAAGCCTTACCTTTTAACATAATTTTTTCATATTTTTAATTAACTGCTACACACCTATTAAAAATTGTCTATTTAAACCTATTTCAATACTTCCACATACGTATTGAAAAATATTGTTGATCAAATTAGATGATGAACAGAGACGCTTATATGATTGTGACATTGTATATTTCGGGATTAGAGAAGAAATAGACTAACATATCAATCATCGAAAATCGCTTTATTGTTTTTCAAAATAATTTCCGTTGAGTGTACCTTATATTGCTATTCCTGGCTAACTTAACACAAAGTGACGAATAACGCAGATATAAGGATCGTTGATTCCACCGGCCCCCAAACTAAACCGTGGTTTTTCCTACATGACGTGGCAGCTCTTGAATCTCTTCAGCTTGCTCTTCGTCCAAAATGTGCAAATTTTACTTTTTTACACTTCAATTGAGTCAGAAATGGATCTCATCGCTGAACAATATTTGCCTCAGAAACTTCGAGTCTTCTTGAAACTTTTCAAGAGTCTATAGAGCGCAGCGATGTCACATGGGAAGGTCGAGTGGCCTCAGTTCTTTCACATGCTGTATTTTGTACGCGATATCGACGTAAAACACGCCAAGTCGTTCCAAACGACGTCGAATCGACTCTCCACGGTCTTCGTGTATACTCTAAGCTACGGCTGCTATATTTTCTTCTTTGCGTACCGCATTCGATCGAATATTATCCAATAATGAATGCTGAGGCTCAAGATGGGTGATGGTATTGGGTATAATATGATATGCAGGCCGATTATGTTGACCATAAGACATTCCTACCGACTACATTTATAGAAATATCGTTTACCCGTATAATTTAATTACGATTTCTGGGTGCTTTTTTGTCACACTATATTTATGTAGTCTTCAAGAATACAAACATTTTATTTTACTATATAAATTTTACACTTATTGAAACTACTACATATTGTATTATATATTAGTTAACCAAAATGTACAACAAGGCGTATACTTAACGTACTCATTGCGCTTATTAACGACAGCACATAGTACATGTATGTAAGTATGTATACATAGGGAATTACCCTGTAAAAGTTTGGTCCAATTAGAAAATAGTATAGACCAAATTTCAAACCGAGTTAAGTACGATGGTGCACTGGACCATGTCGAAAATCGTCTTTTTCCTGATTGTTCGGCAATTTGATTCGATGCTGTCAAAGTATGCATATGTATATGCAAGCACAAGTACAGTTATGCAATACAATATCTAAACGCAAAGACTTTCAACAAATTTTATTGCCATTAAATATAGTTGTGTTTATTTATATTTCTGTGCCACTGGACCAACAACAATGCAATTAGTGGCTGAGAAGCCATCTACGTAAAGCAACTATAAATACTGTAAATGAAAAACAAATTACAAGAAGAAAAACTAAATCAAGTGCGAAACGACACGATAAAACTGCCAATCGGCAAAAACACGAATTCGATTGCAAATCCCAAATGCAAACTTCTTCAAGCAAGGCAGCGTTTTATGCAAATATGTGCATGTATATACATGAAAATACATGTATGTATGCACAAATATGCCACTTGCATTCCGATGCATTCGCGGCGACCTAAATCTTCTCGAATTCAACTCAGCTGACTAATAACCCATTTTATATTTACTTTTGGCCAATTGTTTATCTCACGTTTATTGGCACACATACATACATACATACACACGTCTGTGGGTATTTATTTTTATGCGTCTACAAATAAACACAGGTGTGTGTATAATCACTGCTTTTATTTTAATTTAAAGAACTCGCTAATTTGCCATTTTTTATTTGCCAAACGAACATGCCACTCGTAAAGTCGCAAAATCCGCCGAGCTGAATGGCTTTACTTTTTGTGTAAAAAAATAGAAAACAAAGTACATATTTATTTTTGGACTAAAACTGAGTGGAATTGTATGTTGTCGCAGGATTAAAAATAAAAACAAATCTGTTAAAAAATACGATTTAAAATTAATTGCTATTAATCAACCAGAAAATATACACAGCTAATATAGACATATAAACATAACATATTATTATACTAAGCAACGAAGCAAACATATGTACATATGTACATACATATATTGCTACACTAAGTGACTGACTACGAAGTGATTCAAATACGAGTACCATATTTACGAG